AGGGAGGAATGGCAGCGCTGTGGTAACTCTGGGCCCAGCCCTGAGCCCTTCCCTGCACTGCTGGCACTGCTGACAGCACCTCCTGCTCCTGCTGTGCTGATCACCCAGGGGGAACTCAACCTCTTGGTTTTTTTGCAGGAGGAAATGTGCTTTTGTGCTCAGAATTGGATGGGAGAAACCTTCCCCTGCCTCCTCCTTCCCTGCCCATGTTTGTAGCTGAACATCACAGGAGCCCTGAGCCTGGGCTGAGATGGAGAACGTCCTTCTGACACCTCCAGCCAACACCCTCCCTCTCTGGACTAAACTGGGATGTCCATCCCCACTGGTGGGATCCTTCCAGCTGGGTTTGGATTGACAGTCAGCTCCAGGATGAGCTCAGGCCAGAGAACACAGAGAAAAAGTGAAGCTTCTTCCACCAGGAGAAGGTGGCTGGGCCAGGGAGGGGGTCATGTTTGTTTGTTTAACTGGAGGTCCCTGCCCTGAAGACTCTCAGTTGGGTCAGTTGTTTGCAACCCAAGCTTGTTACTGCCTAAAAACTGGTAGAACTAGATAAAGACAACAGGAATTTTCCTATAGCCCCGTGGGCTACAACAGATAATAACAAACTGGCCTGACTCTTATTAAAAAGACATTTAAGCATCGGGTCATGTTGTTTGGTGGTGCTGGGATCCAGCAGAGCCAGCTGGATTCCCAGAAAACTCTGTTGCACCCACTGGAAAGCAGCTGCTGGGAAAGGGCCAGTGAGGGGTTTGGCCCTGGGGCTTCAGAAGGCCAAATTCTTCTTTTTCCTTTTCCTCCTTATGACTCTGACAATGGAGCTATAGAGGCACTTCTGGAGCCTCTGCTGTGCTGTACAAACACAAGGAAGGGCAGTGCTGCCAGACTGAGCCCTGCAGCCCAGGGGAGTTCCAGCTCAGCTTTTTGTTCTGCCTTCCCAGGGAAAAGGCTCTGGGAGACACTGGGAAAGATTGTCTGCTTTGGATATCAAAGGTTTCTGCGAGCTTACATAGCACAAGCTGTGCTTTTTTTTTTTGCTGGAAAAGCACCTGAAGCAGGCACATCTCCCTTTGGAGAGCAGCTCACTTTAACCTGCTCCAGGCTGCTTCCTCTGACTGCCTATTAATTGCTGAAGTGTTTTAATAACCTTTGGTCAAAGGCAGCTGAAATTCCTGGCACATCACGGGACAGCTGGAGAGGATGTTTGACAGCTGTCAGTGGGAAAAGCTGTGTATCCTAAAGGGATTAAAGCCCTTGCTTTGAAGTTTCTCACAGGCTACACAGACCTGGGGAACGGGGAGTGGGAAGTGACTTGGGTGAGGTCACACCTCAAACGGGAGGGGGGAGGGAGAAATGGGAATATCGGGATGTCACGGACACGGGGCCACTGTGCACCTCGGGCAGCTCCTCCAGCTGCAGCCCCAGCCCTTCTCCTGAGGGCTGGAGGCCCTCTGAGTGATGTTGTGCTCAGTCACGGAGCTGCTGATGTGTCCCTCCTGAAATGCAGCTAATCCCAGTCTGCCCCTGGATGTTTAGAGAGGGTTTAACAAGCCAAACACCAGCGCAGCCCTGTTGCCTTGGAGAGGGTGTAGCTGTGAGCAAAATTTGGCCCTCTGCTCCAAACCTTGCAGTTTGTCTTGACTGCTGCGTGCTTTATTTTTAGAGCATCATAAAAGGCTTTTGTTCCAAGGTATATTTAACAGGGGAGTGGAAGGGAAGTGGGAGGGTTTTGTGCAGGGAGAATGTATCTCTTGGTCTCTTTTCTTCTAAACCCACCCCCTCACCAGATACTCTTGGAGGGTGGAGTATAAATGAAGGGGGGAAAAAAAAAAAAAAAGAAAAAAAAAAAGAGAGAGAGAGAGAAAATAATAATTAGAAATAGTGAAATCACAGTCAAAGGGATTGTCTGGGCGTCCCAGGCCTGGAGGCCTCTCAGGCGCCACAAAACACACATTATCCCAGGAAAGATTTATTCCAGGGGATGGAAGGGGCAGGGCAGGGGTGGTCCTGTCTGGAAGGAGCTGGTGGAGGGGAGGGCTGTCCCTGCTTCCCACCAGGACACATCACACCCAGACTGCTGCGTGCTGGGCTGGCCCAAAGCTGACTCAGGGCAGGCTCAGAGGGTCCTGTCTTGGGGGGGAGATGGATGGGGAGCAGGAAACATTTTTCCTCTGGGCTTGAAAAGGTGTTTGAGAGAGCTCTGGTGGTACCAACAAGCAACCAGACATGCACAGCCCCACAGGAGGGGTGGGTTTGTGCTGGGAGTGATGTTCCCCAGTCCTGTGCTGGGGACAGGCACCCAGGGAATTGCACAAGGAATGAGGCTGGATGTGGGAAGGAGCTCGTGTGTCAAGTTCCACAGTTGTAGTAGGATCCTCTCAGGAAAAAACAGGTGAAGTCCTGGAGCAAAGCTAAGAAGGAACTTAGTGCTAAAAAAGAGAATTAATAACACCAAGAGAGTCGGTCACAGCTGACCTCGGGGAATCCCAGAGGATTTGTTCAAGAAGAATCCGTGTTTTGCCTTCCCACGAGGGACCTCGTGGCTCCTCAGGCAGACTCCAGACTCAGGGAAGCAGGACAGGGCACAAAGACTGGCAGGCAGCACCAGGAGCCTGGTAAGGCCAGACTGGCCCTGGCTGCCCCAGTTCCACTCAAGCTGTGCTGTTGAGCTGCAGGAGAAACAGGGGTGGGTTTAAACCCCCAAAGGTGGAGCCAAGGCTGTGTCAGAAGCACTTTAGTCACAGACCTTGGCTCTGGGCAGGCAGAAGGGTCTGGTGGGTTCCTTTTTCTCCTGTCCCCTCTCCTAAAGCAGCAGTGTCATCCCTGCTGGTCTGCAAAAGGCTGAGTCTGAAAACCTGAACCAAATCCCGAGGTGGATTTGGCCTGGCAGTGGTGGCACCTTTCACCTGTCACCCAGGCAAAGCCTGCCACCGCTCAGCTTTGCCAGACACGTCTCTCCCTCTCTTTTCTTTGACAGGGGTTTTTCCCCCAGAGGTCAGAATCCTATGCCCTGCTGTCCCCCTGCATGGTCTGGCTCAGGCAGTGTTTTCTCCTCCTTCACTTTTGTTGCTGGAATTCGGTTAAGTCTCACTGAAAGGTCAGAAGAAACTTGGAAATCCCCTGGGGGGATGTTGGTGCTCTGCACTACCCAGAGCCAGTGAAATACTCTCTGCCTGGGTCCTGGTGAAGGACAAGCACCCAGGACTGTGGCTCTGGTCACCATGAACTGGGCAAAGCTGCATTAATTTGGACACATAATCAGAATACTGATCAACAACTGTGTAGGATTTGTGCTTTCCTTGGCTTAACAGGACGTGTCCCTGCCCTTGGTAAGGTGGTTGGGACTGGATTATCTTTTGGTCCCTTCCAACCCAAACCACTCTGTGATTCTATAATTCCATACAGGTTCTTTTCTCTCCTTTCTTTGCACTCTCAGCGCTGCAAGGTCTGTGCTATGGCACTGCTTTGATCATCAGCCCCCACTCAGCTGACTTTTGGGTATTACTGTCCTCTGCTGTGTAAGTTTTTGGCAGCTGGTGCTCTCCAGCAATCCCAAATGGAGTTTGCACTGCTCCAGACCTTTGGTTTCCATCCCCAGCAAACAGCCTGTGCCCAGTGCCCGGGTGCCTGGCAGGCAGGAGCTCACACAGCAGGGTGCAGGGGGATCTCTGCTGGCTCAAAGCTCAGCCCAGCCGTCATCAGCAGACACGCCGGGGTCATTCCTCGCGCTGCGCTCCATGCTGAGCCAGGAGCCACAGCTGATGTGTTCGAGGGTGTTGCACCCAAATTAACGTGCTCTGCCCTCACCCGAGCCTGTGTGGACACGCCTCGTGCCCGCCCGAGTGGGCTGGGGAGGGTGTTTGTCAGCGGGGAGAGCTGCTCTGACTGTGACGGGAGCACCTCCAACCCCACGCTGAGCAGGAGCCCGGTGGGACCGGCAGCGAGTGAGACGCGATGGGGGGTGAGAAACGAGGGGTGGAAGCCTTTCCTTCTGCCTTTGTTTTAAGGCCTGTGTCAACTTGCCTCGTTAAAATCCTCTCCTGCCTTCCAAATCCAGTCAGGGTTGAGTCACGGCTGAGCCCATCCTCTGCCTCCTCATTGCAACACGGATGACAGAAACCATCCAACAGGAGGGCTTGAAGCCCTGATGAGTTCTGTTCTGTTGCATAAAACCTTTTCCCCGTTTCCAGGCGAGCTGCTGCAGAGGTGTTGCCCGGGTGGTATTCCCTCAGCCTGTTCCCAAAAGCGGTGTCCGGACTTCCCGCTCGGAATAACGCTGGGAACGGTATGGGAAGGGGTTATCCCACAGACCTGCTCCTTCCATAGCCAGTGTAATGAAAGGATTCCCTGAGCCAGCATGACTTGGCATCTAAATTTGGGGGAGGGGGAGGGAATTAAAGTTCTTTTTTAAGAGGAAAATTTTAAGAGCTGGGGGGAAAATCGCCCACATTTATGGAGACGTTCTGAGAGAAGGTGAGGAAAGGCAAGAAAGGGTCATCCTGTACACTTACCATGTAGGAATGAGAGGAAACTAAGAGGCTTTTCTTCTTCCCTAATTTATTCCTTTATATATACATATATATATGTATTTTTGTCTGTGTATTTATACATAAAGAAACAGCAAAGGACAAATCACTCCCCCCCTTCCCCAATCTGTAAAAAACTGACAGTTCTTTGGCATCCCGGGAGATGGGAACCCGTCCACCAAACTGAAACTAATTATCACCCAGATGAATACCTGATTCCACTCCTTTATCCTACCTCCTTCCCCCCGGAGGGCTTTTCCCTCCTTCCCCACCCAGCCTGGTGTCCCCACCCTCGCGGCCGGCAGGCAGAGGGTTACGCTGCACCTGTCTGGGTGTACCTGTCCCAGGGCACCTGTCCCGGCAGCCAATCCCGGCTCTGACCCACCTGTCAGCCAAATACCTGCACGGGAAACCTGCACATAAATCAAACACTTCGCAGGCAATGTCTGTCTTTAGCAGGTACTAGAAGAGAGCAGTCATCGGGATTTTAGCTGTCTGCGAGGATTTGGGAGAGCCGGGGGAAATATGTCCAATGAACTTGAGTAAGTGGAGTTGTTTTGTTGGTTTTTTTTTTCTCTCTCTCTCTCTCTCCCCTCTCCTGCCGGGGCTGCTCCCGGGCTGGAGGAGCCTCCCGAGTTCTCTGCCTGCCCAGCTGTTGGCAAGAGCAGCGAAAGGACGGGATGGGAACGTTTTCCACACTTTCTGTCCCTCGGTGACCTGTTGCTGCTCCGAGGGGGATTCACTTCTTACTGGTTTTATTTAGGAGTTGTTTCAAGTCCCGGTTCCTTTTTATCCGCAGCCTAAAACCTGACACATGGGGTTTCTGTCCAGAGGCAAGTCTGCTCTGCCTCTACCCAACAAAATCCAGCAGGAGCTACAGCATTTTATTTTATTTTGTTTTTAATTTTAGAAAACGCTTTCTACAGTATTTACCAGTTTCTAGTTTTTGGTGGTGGGGGTTGTTGTGTCATGGGGTAGTTTGGGTGGGGGGGTTTTTTGGTTTTTTTTCTGGGTTGTTTTTTTTTTTTTTTTTCATGGTTGGAAGAATTTTTATTGGAGTTTGTTTGCTTGTTTGGGAGGATTTGTGTTTTGGTTTTGGTTGTTCTAGGTTTTTGGTTTTGTTTTTTTGTTTGTTTGGTTGGTTGGTTTTTTAAGTAAATGGATTCACACTGTGACTTCATCAAAGAATTGTAATTGATTTTTTCTGTTTTATTTTTTCTTTTCTTTTTTTTTTCTCCTTGTTTTGTTTTTAATAAGAAAAAAAACGTTTTAACATGTTGATCCTGCCTAATTCTCGCTTCTGATTTTGGTACTTCCAAAACATTTTGGACTTTGGAGGCTGATGGTATCAGCACAGCATATCGTGCCTCACACCCCTGAAATAAAAGCAAACAAATGTCACACTGGGATGACAGGGTGTAGGAAAGGAATATTGAATAATGCTGCTGTCAGTCCAGTGGTAAAGAGCTGTCTGGGCACAGAACCCTGGGTGAAGTGGCTGTGAATGAAACAATTTAGCAAGAAATCTATGTCCATACATATAAATACACACGTATGATTACAGATTTGCTGCTTTGGAAGGTGTTTTTTTGGATGAAAACCACATGCCTGTGTGTGTTTACAAGCCTGGCAGAGATGCTGTGTCAGCGAATCTCTCCCTAATTAAGAACCCCGAAAAGGCGCAGCAGTAATTATTATTTTATGTAAATGCTGCGATCGATCTGCTCGGATTGATTACGAGCCGCTGCCTTCAGTTTTGGCTTTCTGAAGTTGTTTTTCTTTTTTGGGTAATCGGTAGGTGACGCTTCCCAGATTTCGGAGTCGGGGCACGTGTTTCGCTCTCGGAGCTCCCGGAGTGAAGGGCTGCGGAGGGACATTGATGTATTTATCGCTAATTAGGGCCCGGGCCATTACGCTGCCCGATGAATTACACGCTTGGGTGACTCCTGCGCTGTTAACGGGCCCTTCACCCTGCGCCTGTCGCGGGACCAGCAGAGATTTGTCACTCAGATCTCGCCTCCAAAGGCTGCTCCCTGTGTTTGGGGCAGACCCCAGGATGGGGCTGTGGTTGGTTACCCCTGCAGGTACCCCTAAAGGGTTTTCTGTGCGAGGTTTTCCCATCAGTTGATCCCGAGGACACGTCTGCAGATCTCTGTGAAAATTCCACTTAATTCACCGAGGGGATGAGGGGAGAAATTCCCTCGGGAGGTGCGTGCAGCAACCCCGTCCCGCCGGTGCCTGGGCAGGGGGGCAGGAGCTCCCTGGGGGAAATTTTGGGATCGCAATGGGCCTGGAGCAGCTCAGGAAAAACTCCCCAGGGGCTGACGGGGAGCACTGATGGGAGATAAGGGAGCTGGGACCGAAGGAAGGGCTGAAACCTTCAACTTTGGGTTTACTGTGAGGGGGGAAAGGTGGAACCTTAAGAAGAAGCTGTGAACTCCCGGGTGTAGCTTTCCAGACATCAGGAGCAGCCCTTGGAGCATCTCGAGTGTTTCTTTATCCTCTCCCCACCTTGGAGGACGGATCTGAGCCCTGAACGTGTGCCCAGATGTGGCTGACGTTGAGGGAGCTGTGATATCCCCCCCACACTCCTCCTGTCACCCCAAATGACAGGGAGGACAATCTCATCTCTCCCTTTGGGACTTTAATTTCCCGGGAAGGACCGGGGAATTAGAGTGCCATGGGAGAATGGGATGTTTTGCCTATTGTAAAACATTCTAGCTGATGATTTCCATAGTCTTGTGGGCTGAACTTCTGTCTAACTCTGCAGTGTGTGGGCTTGAAAGAGTTAACCAGGAGCTACTCCCAGTTGTGGTTTTGTGGTCGAAACCATGATCGCCAGGAGCAAATTTTTGTCATGCATAAGGTGTGTTATTAAAACTTGAGTTATGCTCCTGGTGAATGAAAAGTTAAAGCCCTTTTATAAAATCCTGGCAGTAAAGCACACAAGGGATAACCAAGCTGGAGCAAGGGAGCTTTCAAGGGAGGCTGGGTTGTTTCTTTTTTTTTTTTTTTAAGTTATGTAAAGAGAAGGAGAGATTTGTAAATTAAAGAAACAACAATCAAATAACTGCTCTGCAATTCCCGACAAAGAAGTAAAAGCCCTCTGAATAAACTCCAGACTCAAAGCAGGGGTAAATCAACATTTACATAGTATCTCTGCTTTGATGCTCTTTGGGTCAGATTTTCAACTGATTGGTACATAGGAGTGATCCCAGGGAAATTTGTGGAACAGAGACAGTCAGGCTGATGAGGATCTTCTCCTGCTTTGTTCTGGCTGGTGTTTAAACTGTTGATCATTGTCAAGTATTCATCCAGAAATGCACTTGCACTTGGATTGCACCTGTGAGCACTTTGGTTCAGCTGATTGGCAGGGAGGGGGACCCTGGAATAGTGTATTAATGAAAAACACATTAATCAGTTGAACTGATGATTTAATATGTGAGTTATATTTAACATTTGGTTACGTTCCATCTGAGACTCCACTGCTAACAGCCAAGTTTGAAAGATAGGGAATGTGAAAGACAGTACTGGAAAATGATGGATATAGACGGGATATTGGGAAGGAATTTCTTCCCTGGGAGGGTGGGCAGGCCCTGGCACAGATTGCCCAGAGAAGCTGGGGCTGCCCCATCCCTGGAAGTGTCCAAGGCCAGGTTGGAGCAACCTGGGATAGTGGAAGGTGTGCCTGCCCATGGCAGGGGGTGGAATGGGATGATTTTTAAGGTCCCTTCCAACCCAACTCATTCCATGATCCTGTCATGGTTTGTTTCTCGCTGTTCTTCAGCTGTTGATGTTGTTCTGGTTGGTAGCTGATCATGAGGAGGCTCTGATCCAAAAACAGTGCTTGTCCCCAGCGTGTTCCTAACCCCGAGTGTTCAGAGCACAAGAGCAGCTGTCACTCACCCAGGTTCCAGCCTCCTGCTCTGTCAGCCTTTTGCTTCTTTTCACCCTTCTGCTCTTGCAGTCCAAGCGGTGGTGCTTGTCCTCGCTCTCCAGAAATGCCTTGTTTTATGGGGTTGTACCTACGATGGGATGAATCACGTTTGTTTGGCAAAAACACTGTTTGAAGCACATTATGCTGGTTTGTTGTTTTGTTGGGTGTTTTTTTTCCCCTATTACACAGCAAAGCAAAAGGCTTGTTGACCTTGGGAGGTGGTGTTTGCAGGACACTGAATCAGAACAGGTTAGAGGATATGCAGAGTGCATCAGTCAGGCACCTTGCCTGGGATGAAAATTCCTTCCAGGATGGGAAGACAGAGATAAAACTCCAAGGGTTTCATATCCCTTTATTGCTACCATTGCTGGTTGGTTTTTGTTGTTTGTTTTTTTTTTTAAAATCCAAGTCTTGTAAAACTGATTTTATTTTTTTTTTAAATTTTATTTAAAAGCCAGAGCTCTTGGAGTTAGGGACTAACAAGAATTAAGAAAATAAAATGGCAAGTAAGAGGTAGGGTTTTGCATGTGAAAGCTGGGAGACAAACTCATAGGCACTGAAAACAAACAAAAAAATAACTGAAGGCACCTAAAATCTTGGAGTTGTGAAGCTCTTCTCAATGTATGTGATCTTCCTTGTGGTGTGTGAAGGTCTGGGAGCTTCAATGCAGAGTGTTGTGTGTTGGTGAGATGGAGGTTTGTGTCCATAAACACATGTATATAAGGCATCTTTACCTGTCCATAATGAAAATAAGAAAGAGGGTGAAGTTTCCACTGGTGTTTCATAAATGCCAGGTGGTAGCAGATGCTCAGGGCCTGCTTTTGTGTCCTCAGTTTGGAGGCAGACCATCCTGAAACTCAGGGCACCCCAAAACCGAGCCATCTGACATCACAAACTGCTTCTGGGAAAAAAAAAAAAGAAAAAAAATCAGCCCTAATTCCTGAACTGCAAACTAATTCTATGCTGTAATTTGTTTTGTTAGGCAGAGGAGGCTCTAAAGCAGGAACCGTTTGTGAAATGGGATTGTGTGGGTGGATCCCTCAAGGGTGATGTTATCAGGCAAAACACAAAACCAGCTGGTGTCCCCCCAAACATCACTCAGCAGTGGAATTGCCTCCTGGAGCCCTCCAGGCTGAGGAGGCAGGAACCAGTGCAGTGCTGGGAAGGTTTAGAGCAGAGGTTCAGGGCTGGTTCTGCTCTCTCACCTTGGCTGGGCAGCCTGGGATAAGGCATTTTAAAAACCCCTGTGCCTCGGGTTCTCCTGCTGTGAGTGAAGAGCTGCAGAAGCAGGGAGTTAGGCTGTGGAAAAAAGGAAGAGTGTTGGGTTTAAGGGTTCTAAAGAGCTGTAAGTAACCCAAAAAGGCCAGCAGACAGGTGAGTTCCCTGGACATTCCCCAGGTAGCACCTGCCCCTGGATGGTTTGTCTGGTTCCACCGTGGATTTAACCCTGCAAACTGTTCCAACTGACTCCAGCTCCACAGGAGAGCTGGAGTTGGGGGATTCAGCCCAAGAGCTTGGCAGGGGCTCTGCCTCCAGCACAGCACATCCCCAGTGCCCTCCCTGCTCCATCCCACCAATCCCACCCAGGACACACCACACCTTCCCCATGGCGTGGCCAGAGCCAACCCACCCTCCTGGGGTGCTGAGCTCCACTGGCTGTGCCATCCTCTGAGCCCTTTGGGGAATCAGCAGCCACTTCCCAAAGATGCTCTTGATGGCCCCTTCTCTTCCCACCCCATCCATGGCACATTCCTGCCCTGCACTCCCTGCAGTCCCTGCCCTGTGCTGTGCAGTCCCAGACTGCCTGGGATGGTTTTCCTGGCTCATGCCTGTGCCATGCAGGGTTTCCAGGGAAAAGAGAAGCTCCTGCTGTGTCTGGGGATGAGCCCTCGCTGAGGGGTGGCTGGGAACACCAGGTTGTGCTGAGTTAACAACCTGCACTGCCCCCGGGGCTGGGGGTGCTGCTGAAATGGCCCTGCAGAGCCCCAGGGACAGAGCCCACATTGTTCTCCAGCTGCCAGAGAAAATACTCCAGTCCCCAAGGCAGAGCAGGTCAGGGGCTGTGAGATTATGGCATCCTGGGCCTTTGCCTGTGGATTGACACCGTGTTGTACTTGGCGTGTAGGCAGAGTTCTTTGCCATTAGTCTGTGTTTGTTGTGTTTCTTTCTGCGTGTTTGGTTTTGTTTTTTTTTTTTTTTCCTGGTTCTGTCTCCGTTTGGATTTTTGCCTGACTGGGAATGGGCCTGTGACAACACCCTGACTGCTGGCTGTGCTGTCACAGTGTCTCCAGGTGTGCTTGTTTGTTGAACTTGCACAGAAAGGGTAAGATCAGAATCTAGCCGAGAAGTTTGGCTTTGGTTACGAGGCCACTTTGTGGGATGCTCTTCTTCCCTGACAAGGGTTTACAGGCCAAAATCTACTCCAGGAGGCACTCACTGGCCTTGCTCTCCCCAGTGTTGACCCTCTGAAGTCCTCCAGGCCAGGGTCTCTATTCCGTGGCTTTGAATTCCCGCTGCTGGTTGCCATGGATTCCCCGCTCCATTGACAGTGTGATGTTGCTCTGCAGCCATCAGCATCTGGCAGGGCTGATATTTAGGTTGGAGGCTTAATCAGCTGTAGGGGAGAGAACAAAGACAAGCAACACAAAGCTCGAAGGCCGGCAAAGCCTCCCACAGAAACCCAACAGAAGGCCAAAGGAATACGGGGGTTTCTCTCCTGCTTGGCTCATCTCCCCACTGAGACCCTTTGGGCACATTCTCCTGTTTCAGCCCAGCCCTGGGTGTTTATTTATCACCAGGAGGCCACTGTTATGGCAGATCAACAGAGGGAAACAGAGATGGGCTGGGATGGAGCGGGAAAGAGGGGCCGGGATCACCTTGTCTCTAACTCAGGAACTGTTTGGAAACAAACAGGCTGCTCCCTTCCCAAAACCCTGCTCTGCTTTGCACATGACCCCGGGGCTCCAGCACGCAGGGAGGGAGGGAGGGAGGGAAGCTGCTGGTCCCACGTGTTTGTGTTTCCCTGGGTTTGAGCCACAGCACCAGGAAAGGAGCGTTTGCTTTGCCAGCCCCAGCAGGGAGTTTGCGATGGGCAAACATGGAAGGGGCACCGCAGGGAGCCAGGAAAGTAAAGGTCAGGTGTGTTTGGATCTGGATTTGGGTGTCTCTCTCCTGCATCTGCCCTGCACAGAAGGTTCCTAACGCCATCTGTGCCGTCTCAGGTGCTGTGGGAGCAAATTGATGGGACGGAGTCCTGTCGTGTCATGGGGTGGAATGCATCTGATGTCAAAAAGGTGCCTTAAACACGTCACCATTATCTGCTTATCTCCTCACATCACCCTCTTTTCTCAGACACTGGCTAGCCCTGTTGACCTTCTGGAACAGGGTCAGAGCAGAACTGGAAAAGTAAATGGGATGGGGTCTGCCCTGCAGGGTGTGCTGAGGAGATTCCCGTGGCTCCAATCACGTATTTCAGTGACTGCCAGGGATCATATGGACTCTGGAACAGAAACAGGGTGCAATAAATGTGCAGTCCCCATCATTCCACCTCTGTCCAAGTCCTCAGCAGGTTCTAAGCACCACAGGGCCCTGCCTGAAGCTCCCAGTGGTCCTACTGGAGCATCCTAGAATGCCGCTGTCCTAATCCTCCCGTCCCTGGAGTTTCTGCTTTGTGGCAGAAGTTGCCATGAGGCATCGTGTGCCCACATTTCAAGTTCAGGAAAGTGCCTTTGCTGTGTGCCAGGCTGAGGGCAAGGCTCTGCCCCAAGGATGGTTTGTCCCAGCGGGGTTGTGGGGCAGGCAGGGATGAGGGGGTGATGTCTGTGAGCTGCCTGATGAAGCCTCATCTGCAAATGAGATGCAGGGTCCGAGGGCACTTTTCAGACTTGTGTTCTTCATAAACAGAGTGCAGAGCAGGTGAGAAATGCTGACACGGTGACAAGGCAGGAGGGAGTCACACAGGGAATGCGTCGGGTGAGGGAGATTAAAGCTCCAAAGCATTTTTTTTTCCCCCCCCTTGTAATATCTGTGCTTTTTCAAGCTCCCGAATGCTTCGTTGCTACATCTTGCCCCGGTGCGTTTATCTGTGCTGATTACGGGCGATAGGAGCCGAGTCTCACCCTGAGCAAGCCCCGGTGCTGCCTGTTCTTCCTTGAGAAGATGGGATTGAGAGCGGCTGAGGATTCCTGCCCAGGCAGGACCCATCGCCGAGTCGGCAGCAGCGAAACCTGAGTCACGGCGATTGCTCTGCTCGGAGACAGCGGAGGGAGAGAGGGAGGGAGGGAGAGAGGGAGGGAGGGAGGAAAGGAGTGAGAGAGGGCTGCGTGAGAAACGCTAAAGACAACGAAACTCCCCAACCAGCCGGCGAGGTTTCATCGGCGGGGTGAAACCCGTGCTGGTGCATCATCCCGGCGCGGGGGAGAGGAGGAGCAGAGCCGGCATCCCCGTTATCCTGCCGTGTGAGGGGAGCAGGTGGAAGAGCTGTACCAACCTGAGCTCACCCACGTGAGCCCAGAAAGCAGCGGGAATTGGGTGCCTGAGGCCAACCAGCAGAGCTGTTCGCAGCTTCTCTCCCGTGCGGCTCAGACGCGGAGGGAAGAGCAATAAAAAGCGGCAAGGAGTGGCCTCGTCCGTGCTGCTCAGCCAAGGAGAGCTCAGGAGCATCCCTGGATGGTTTATATTGCGTATTCCCTGCTGGAGACGGGGCACTGGGAGAGGCTGGGGGTGTGCAGGAGCAAAGCCAGGCTGCCAGGGAGGATGGACCAGCATCCTTCACCCCGTCCAGGGTCCACCTCTGTGCCCTTCCAAGGTTCCATCCCAGCAGCTCCCACCATGCAGGCTGGCACTACCTGTCAGGGTTCCCAGTCGTGGGGAGTTTGGGAGATGCCAGGTTCCTTTCAAGAGGAATTATTGTTCTCCCAGTGATTCACTTAAAAGTCTAGACCAGGACTTGTTATAAACACAATGAGAGCAGCTTAATGAAAACAACATATTCCCTATAAAAATGCCATTAAAATGTGGCATTCACTGCCTTAACTCCTGTAGATTTTCTTCGCCTTCCCATAAAATACATCAGTGACTGGTGCCATGATTTAACCCCAGCTGGCTCTTGGCAACTTTGGAGATTTAAAGAAATCTTCTTATGATCTTTTTTTAAACCTCTTCTGCACCCCTGCCTGACCCTCCTGAGCATTTCCACTTGGAGGAAGAAGTAATTTTTGTCCACGGACTTGTTATTTTATGCTGAATAAAACGGTGGTGACGCCATGTACACGTGGCTGAAGGGTGTGACAGGAGCACAGCCACTGGCTCATCCTCTGTGCTTCAGTGGATGTGGTGGCTATTGGGTCAAAGGCTGGACTCTGTGATCCTGGAGGTCTTTTCCAACCTTAGTGACCCTGTGATTCCATGATTCTGCCCTCTGGGCAGGGGGAACCCCCAGCACGGAGCACCCAGGGAATGCACAAGGTCCTTCTGTGTTGGCTGCTGGTAGGATTTGCTGGAGGAAAAGGAAAGATGACCAATGTTTGGGAAATTAAGTGTCTGGTAGTTTATTAACACAAGATGAAGAGGCCTGGAGAAAGTGCCAGAGGAGAGGACAGGCAGGGCATTATTTTGGGGTGTTGCTTCCCAGCTCACGTAGTCCCACGAGCCTCACCTCTGCCAGGAATTTTTTAGTGGAAGGGAGAGGGTTGTGATCTGCCTGTCTGCTTCCCTCTGAGGAAAAATGACATACAAATGATGGGAAAAAACACCCTAATTTAGATTAGGACTAAATTTAAACCCTGTGAACTGCACCAAAGGAAACCGATGAGGTTTGGTTTCATCTGGGCAGGTTCTCTGAGCATGGAGTGACAGTGTCTAATCTGGGTTGCACTGGCCTGTAGCTCCAAATTCAAGGAAAAATTGTGAGTGTCCTGATCCTTATTTTACTGACCAACATCCCCCTGTGATGTGTGTGATGTGAGTGGCTGGTGGTGTGTGCTGAGGAAGGAGCAGACGATGCCCCATCCGTGGGGCAGGAGGAGGGAGCAGAGGCACAGCTGCCCCTGCATGGCCTGATTTTGGACAGTTACAGGTAGATGAGTCGGTATTCCCAAATATTCAGGGAGTTAAGGACCAGGAAAGCATCCCTCCTCTGTTCCAGAGCACCTCTGGGAAGCCCTGCATGTGGCCAGCTGGGTGACAGGGAGATGGCTGTGGAAAATTCTCATCCCTCACTGCCGGTTTCCTCTGCGTGGCTCAGCTTTAGGTCCGTGCGCCTGATGAAGAATGACACCATGAACTTCCAGAAATTCCCCTACACCAACGAAGATGAAGCCTGGAAAACCTACCTGGAGAACCCCCTGACTGCAGCCACCAAGGCCATGATGAGGGTGAACGGGGACGATGACAGCGTGGCCGCCCTGAGCCTCCTCTACGACTACTACATGGTACATCCCCCTGGGAATGGGGCTGGGGGGGATTTGGTCCCAGAGGAGAAGTGTGAAGGGAAAATACGTGGAAAATATGTGGAAAATATGTGGAAAATATGCACCACCTCAGGAGGGGACCCATCTCCTGAGCTCCCCCTCTTGTTAATGTAACGATCCTCAAAAGACCCCTCCCCAGTGCCACAATTATCCCCAGGGCACACAGGGGGTAAACTGAGGCACAAACCACCACTTTGCAGGGAATCCAGAACATGTTGAAAAGCTGAACCCAGGTGCCTGGAGTCTCAGGCTGGTGGGTTTTTCACCCAACAGCTTTTGAGAGACATGGAGCTGGAACAGCTGTCACAGACCCCAGCAGCTTTATTTTTCCGGTGCTGCTGTAGGATGGAGCTTCAAGAAATGATTTATGCCTAATTGAAACCAATAGGACTGATGTTCCCACTCACTTGGGTGCTTTTGAAGGTCCTTCCCAGAACAAGATGATGTGGCTTGCCTAAGGTTACTTGGGAATCCATGGCAGCAGCCCAGCAGGAGAGCCCAGCTCTGCTCTGTTTGTTGTTCTCACAGTGTTTTATCTCTGAGACTTCACTTGCTCACAGACAAGGCTAATTTTTGCCTCTGTTTTCCATGAATAAAACCTAACAATAAACAAACCCTTTGTTCTGCCTGGCTCTAGGTCCCGAAGGAGAAGAGGATTCTTCCAGCTGGAATGATGGGACGCAACGAACTCGGAAAGAGGTTGGCTTCAGTCTGTGCTCTCTGTAGCTGTCTCCCTCTCCTGCAGCTGCTGGCAGGATGGGGCTCTTAGCTTGCAGAAAATAGACATCAAAGCACGGTGTTATTACCAACAACAGTGCAGGTTATTAACCCTGAGACACGCATTAAAATTCTTTAGGCCGGGTCCCAAGCGGGTCTAAATGGAGCTACACCCATTTACACACCTGAGGATCTGTCTGGCTGTGCTCAGAGGGGTTGTGCTGATTTGCAGCAGCTGAAGGATTTGTCTTTATTTCCTACTTCGTGGCAGCTGGAAAGGGCAGAAGGATTAAGCACTGGCAGCAAGAAGGGAATGGCCAAGTCCTCTCCCAGTCCCTGGGCTGAGAAGGGTTTCTGTTTCGCTTCCCAGGATTCTCTTCCAGTGACTCCCATTTGTCCTTTGAGGTTTTCAGATAATTAACTATTAAATTAATGGCTCGTTTGCCACTGTGAGTCCAGTTCCCCTGGATGCTGTGTACTTTGGCAACCTTTTCTGGTCGTCAGTTTTTAGCTACTCCACAGAATAAGCCTCTCAAGTGACACTTCATTCCCCCTTCATAAGCAAACTGAGTTGAGCTGATTTCTGCTCTCTGAAAGGCCTCTGCATTCCGGGCAGTGCTGTGATTTTTATTAACTGTGGCTATTTCAGCAAATACCTGAAGGTGAAGCTCAAAGTGGGTAGGAGCTCCTGGCTCACCCTTGGGGCAGTTCCTGCTGCCAAGGGCCCGCTGATGTGAGGGCTGGTGTGTTTTCTGAGCCTGGTGACAGGGACAATAAAACACCTTCTCCCAGCTCAGCCAGAGCTGCAGAGTCAGCAGGTCATGGAGTCACTGCTGCAGGAGGGACCAGTCTGGGATGCTGCACAAGGGGATGGTTTCCCTGTGCGAGGAGGGTGGTACTGTAGGTCTTTATCACTTGGTAGCTCCTGCACTTCAGTATTTTCTACTCTGAAGAGGACACCTCCAACGCTGCAGCCTTGTCAGGTTTTCACTGATCTCGTTCTCTGGGAATTTTGCTCCCTAAACTCCCAGAGTTTGTGAATTTGTACAGGAATTATTTTTCCTTTAAACCATCCCCCCCAAAAAATATATTTTAAAAAATCAACTTTAAGCATCAATAAACCCTAAAAAGACCACATAGCAGTTACTTTTCTTACTGTTCCTGCTGCTCTGAGCATTTAATAGCCTAAATAAAGGAATAATGGATGTAGGCCCTGGATGTTCAGCCTCAAACCACGTCTAAATCATATTCTCTGATCCTATGTGATCATCCCTTATCTGCTGAGCACCTCTGGCTCTTGCTGATTGCACTGGGAGGTGTGGGTGGAGATCACCCAGGGGCCTGTCAGGCCTCCCATGTCAAGCAGGAGCCGTACCCGGCTGACTCAAGGTCACCTGTGCAGTTTGCTCTCCATCAGCGCATCAAGGCACTTGGTTGCCGCTGTCACAACTCGCTGGGGCTGTCCACGCTCTGCCCCAGTTTGAGATAGGCCCTCTTTCCCCAGCAGGCACTGCCACGGGATGGACTACGAGCCGGACATCGCCTCCTTCGACGGCTCAGCCCACCTCATGAAGCTCCTGTCTGAGAACGTTTCCATGAGCCAGGAGTACTGCGAGCCACAGAAGAAGAACGGCCTGAGTCTCGAAGGCGTCCCTCCTCCTCCTCCTCCTCCCCCTCCTCCTCCTCCTCCTCCTCACAAGCCAGCCCTGCTCCCTCCAGGCACCAGCAAGCTGGAGGCCACCCCAGACAACTACCTGGTCCCTCCTGGGGACGTGTACGACAACAGCTCGTTGAACTCCCTCTTCGAGAGCCTCCCCATGGCCCCGGCGCAGCAGCGGTGGCAGCCGGACAGCACCTTCAAGGAGGACCCCCAGGAGGTGAGAGCCCTTTCAGTGCAGGAGTTTGGGGGTCTCATTTGGGCTCTGCCCGTGCTGGGGTCAGTGGGAGCTTTGCTTTCATGTGAAGAGCTCGATGCCGCTCCCGTGGGATCGTTGGGTTTGAGAGCAGGGGGAGGGCTTTGGAATGGGGGGCTGTGTTTCACCTGTGGCCTCTGTTGTGGCATCTGGGAGAAGGTGGGTGGGAAAAGCAATGGAAGGGTCTAGTTCTGACTGTTGTGTTTGCACCTGTGTGCAGTCGCTGCTCTTCAGTGACATCCTCAAGCCCCAGCCGGAGCCGCCCTGCCCCGAGAGTTACAGCACGGACGGCGTCAAGAGGTAACCGCCAGTCCATGAGCTTGGGTTTTCCAGTGAACACCGGGCTGTGTCCCTTCCCTGGGGAATGACTTCATCCCTTCCCTCCCCCCAGTCCAGTCTGGGCAATGACCAGTGCAGATTACAGAGCTTGTGCTGTTCCAGAGGCAGGTTGTGTCTCGCCGGTGCCTTTGGAGCAAGTTGCTGTCCCGTGAGCTTTTAGACCCAAAGCAGTTGATGTTCTCTGTACAAACTGGTGTAAATCCACTGCTCTGGTCACATCTCACGAGCACCTTGGCCTGCCCAAGGGGAGCTGTGGCCCTGAGGTCTCCATGTGAGGGATTTTTTGTGTTCCAGCCCCTTCCCAGGGAGCACTGCTTGGCTCCCGTGGTACAGACAGATCCTGCACCACCTTCCCACAGGCCACTTGGAAAGGGGCAAATGACAGGGAAAACAAGGATTGCAGCTGATGAGGGTGATAATTACCCTCCTCCTAATCTAAGGTTTAGATTCTCACTTAGCACTGTTAGTAAACCTTGATTTTAGAGGGTGCCAGTGCCTCTCATGCCTAAAACATGAGAGGGATTTCTTCCTCCTGTCCACCCCTGTCTCAGACAGAGCTTCTCTGCTCTAGATACCGCATCAAACCTCCCAGCAGGTAACATTATTTCACCTCCCACTTTTTATTTGCCTCCTGAGTCAGCTGACTGGGTGACTCAGCTGTCAGACGTGGGGATGTTCACACAGACACCAGCTCGTCTCCGGGAGCGAGAGGCTCTCTGTTCACTGTTTATTTGTACACTGGAGTCCTCTGGCTCTCCTGGCTCCAGATAAGAGGAGCTGCCAAGCCCATCTTCAGAGGTGGCATCACAGGAGGTGGAGATGGGTTGGTGACTAAACAGGGCACTTGGAGGGTCTGTGTGAAGGCTCCTGCACAGATTCCTCACGGCAGAAAGCAGCTTGAGCTGTGAGGCCTCCTGGTTTGAATGCTCAGAGGTGCTGCTGGAGGCCCAAGAGCTCTTGAAAATCAGGATCTTCTCTCAGATTTCCTTGTCCACAGTGACACCTTTTCTAGTTTAAGACTAAACTGCCCTCTGCGCTGAGGGTTCCACAGGCTGGGCTTCTTAGTCCAGCTCTACCTGGATAACCAGGCAGCGTCCTGCAGGTCCTCCTGCTTCAACAGGTCCATCAAGGGACAGTATTCCTGGCTCAGCCATGTACGGGTGTGAATTTGGAGACAGGAATCTGAGTTTAGGATGTTGCAAAAGTCTCACTGCGGGTACCCGTTCTCTGTGTTTTGGTTTATGGGCTTGGTTGAGCAAAGGTTCTGTTGCCATCCACAGAAAAAACACCGGTTACAGTCACGTCCAGGGTTTGTAAAGCCAAAACCAAAGGGTAAAAACGAGCCTCTTGCAGAGCTGCTGCTGCCTGGGGTGCTGGGGAGGATCAGAATGTGCTGTGCTGGGAGGTGCTGGGTGCTGTCGGGGTGTGTGAGATGGGGAACAGAGCAGAAACTCCTGCGTGTGCAGTGCCTGTAACCTGCAACCTGCAGGGGTGGAGGCTTCCACAGGCTCTTGTTTTGCTTTTGGAGTGAAGCAGCAGCGTGTGCTTATTCATCGTCCTCTCTTTGTTCCGTACAAGTGACTTTGAATACACGCTGGGGTCACCCAAAGCCATTCACATCAAGTCTGGGGACTCTCCCATGGCCTACCTCAACAAAGGACAGTTCTACCCCATCACTCTGCGCACGGCAGGAGACAGCAAATGTTTACACTTGTCCTCAAACAAAGTCAAGGTAAGAACCACGCTGACAGTTTTGCTGACACGCGCAGTGGGACGGGCAGTGATTTTGATTTCCCGGGCCTGGGAACTGAGCTGAGCGTGAGGAGTAAAGGCTTTGTGCCTCATGTTGGCTCCAAGGGGTGAATGGCACGGATTCACTCACAGCAAGGGAATCCTCTGATGCACAGGTCGTGTCCCTGGGCAGCTGGGACCTCTCACAGCGAGGTCAGGGGTGCACAAAGGGCCCCTGAGCCCAGGGCTGGATGGAAACACCTTTGAGCTGGGGAGAGGTTCCCCACCTTGTCCGTGGGATGTGTGGCCAGGCCTCAGAGCCACCCCTGAGACTGTGCTCAAAGCCCTTCCCTTGCCTGCCTCAGTTTCCCCAGGGATAAACCCTCATGTTTTCCATGGTACTGTGGCACTGGGACACTGGGACACTGGGACACTGGGACACTGGGCCAGGGCACGGATGGAGTGGACAAAGCAGGCACAAAGCCCCAGCCTGCTGGGTGTGCTGACCTGGGCTGTCCTGGCTGTGTTACAGAGCGTGGTGATGATTGTTTTTGACAACGAGAAGATCCCCACGGAGCAGCTCAAGTTCTGGAAGCACTGGCACTCCCGCCAGCCCACGGCCAAGCAGAGGGTCATCGACGTGGGTAAGAGCCGGGTGGGCTTGGGAACTTGGAGGGGGGGCAGGATTTTGGGGGGTGGAGAGCCTGGGGGATGTAACCAGTGTTTCAGCCCGAGTATAAACTGCCTGTCCCCTGCCCTCCCAGCTGACTGCAAGGAGAACTTCAACACGGTGCAGAACATCGAGGAGCTGGCCTACAACGCCCTGTCCTTCGTGTGGAACATCCACGAGGAGGCAAAGGTACCAACTGCTCTCCCCCCCAGCCCCTCAGCTGAAAGACAGGGAGAGTTTCCAATCCAAACAGTGCCATTCCAGCGGCCCCAGGGAGTGTTTGCCCGCCAGGACAGCGGGGAGGACACGGGGCTGCTCTGTGTGTTTAAGCGTTGCCATTAGCTAATAAACACGCTGGGTGCACCCCAGACTGGCTCAGAGATGTTTTCTTAGTGCTGATGGATAACTCTGAAGAAAGGTTTTTGCAGCAGCTCGGGGCTCTGCTCGCATGCACCCGAAGCCTGTTTAAATAACCCCCAGCTCAGGGAACAAAGACCCTCCTTTCAAGGCAGCAGTTTGATGCAGACATGACTGACCACCCTCCCGTGCCTTGTGTGATGTGGAAGGGAGCCAGGCAGGTCACAAGATCCCTTTTCACCTTAAAAATCTCTAAAGCTTAGGGCAACAACTTTCCAGCTCTGCTGTCTGCTCTGCATCTCCTCAGAGCCTGGGTGTGGATGGAGAGGAGCATGTGAAAACAGATGAAGGAAAGAAAGAAAGAAAAGGAAAGCATAAATACCCCATGTCTCTGAAGCTTGGGAAAGCTCTGCTTTGGGATCTCAATAAGCCCTTCTTTAGCCCAAAGGCAACCTTGGGTCTTTTACAACCCAAGAGGTTAACAAATGTCTTCAAGGCAAAGTTGTCAGAAATGGAAATATGTCAGGTATGTGGCAAGCCCTGGGGGCACCTCAGCAAAACTGGGTTTAACTCTTAGCAGAAACTCTGTCCCTGCACTGGCCTGGGGCAGGTAAAGGTGAGACTTCAGAGAGCTGGGAGGGCTGGGAGTGAGACAGGAGGGGTCAGGAATTTGGGCCTGTCTGTGGCACCTGTTACTTCTCTCCTTCCAACTCAACTTCACAGCACAGTGAAGTGGTTTTCTTTCCCATACTCAGGTACTGATTAGAGCTGACACTGGGTTTCAGGGCTCTAATCCTCAGCCAGAGCCCTCGCTGAGGGAGCTGTGGGAGCTTCTCCAGCTGCAAATCCAGAGTCCCCCAGAGTCCAGGGGAATTTCAAGGTCACGCCAATGAGTTGGCAATTGGGAGATACAATGTGGATTGTAGCTGTGCTCAGCTCTTCTTCAAAAGCCTCCAGTGGAGCTGATAAAGGAGACCAGTGTGTGATGAATATTCATTCAAGCAGCAGCACTGCTGTGCCATTCCCAAGGCTGCACTTTATCCCTCCTCCCTTCCTCCGGGGCTCTGCTCTCTGAGGGTCCCTTGTTCGAGTGAAAGCTCAGAAATATCAGCAAGAACATCCCCCAGGCAGAATTTTGGGAGTGCTGAAGAGCTGGAATAGGTGTGTGTGAGGGGAGACTGTGCTCGGGGTGGGAAAACAACTGCCCAGGAGCTGGGCTGGCCCCGGCAGGGCTGGGAGGGGGCTCAGCAGCCACTTTTGTCCCATCCTGTCCTCTCTCTCTGTTTCTGCTGAAAACATCACCCTCTGCCCCTGCTTGCAGGTGTTTATTGGGGTGAACTGCCTGAGCACGGACTTCTCCTCCCAGAAGGGGGTGAAGGGGGTCCCCCTGAACCTGCAGATCGACACGTACGACTGCGGCGGCGGGAGCAGCCAGCTCGTGCACCGCGCCGTCTGCCAGATCAAGATCTTCTGTGACAAGGTACAGCCCTGCTGCCCCAGCCACTGCTCCAGGAGGAAAGGCAGAAGGGCTGTGAGAGCCCAAAACAGCCCAGAGGTCAGGGTTGAGGACTCCTCACCTGAGCAGGGGTTGGGTCTGCGCTGAGGCCTTTGCAGAACAGTCATTTCTCCCAAGACAATCAGTTCTCCCCCCAGACCAGACCCACCTGGGGCTGTGCCTCACAGCAAACTTCTATTTTTCCTGAAGTTTTTAAATATCAGAAGAGATGAGAATTGCCCTTGAGGTTCTGCCCCCATCTCAGAAATTTCTCGTTGCTGTTTTTGTTCGTATTTTTTTCATTTTTAAAAGCGAATTCTATTGTTTGTTTGTTTTCTGATTGGTAAGTTATCAGAGAGTCCTGGAGGGCCTGTAGAGCCTCTGGGGTGACCATTTTTGAATAGAGGCTGGCTTTACCTTAGTGTGCTCCCCATCCCAGAGGTGGCCACTGAACCCTCTCTGGGAACTCCCAATGTCCTGATTTTCGCCTGATCTTGCCCACAGGGAGCAGAGAGGAAAATGAGGGACGATGAAAGGAAACAGTTCAGAAGGAAAGGAAAATGCCTGGACTCCAACAACAATGGTCAGTGCTTGTGTTTGTTACCTGATCCCAAGTGTGTTGAAATCCCAGTCCGTTAACTTCCAGGGGATCTGGCCCTGGGTATCCCGAGCCTGATGCAATCAGCCCCACTCGGAAGCAGCCTGTCAGTCAGGTCCTTGCTGGGCTCCCACAGCCCTTTATTGACACCAACCAACCCTTCTGAATCCCTCTGGACTCACGGCAGGACCTTCCCTAGGGCAGCCAGACCCGGTTCCACAGAGCCCCGTGCTGATTCCAATATTTCTGTCGGAACTCCTTGGGAAGGCTCTTTCCCCTCTCTCCTGTAGCTGCCTCTCATGGCACCCTCTGAACTGAGATGAACTGGACTTTCCATCTGTAGGTCTGAAAGGCTGTTTGCTCTCTGGCTTCAGAGGGAATGAGATCACGTTCCTGAGGCCGGAGACCGACCTGGAAACGCAGCCGGTGCTGTTCATCCCCAACGTCCACTTCTCCGGCCTGCAGAGGTGTGGCACGGTGAGTCCCTGCGGAAAACAACCGACCTGCTGCCCTTCCCCTGTCACCCCCAGCGTTTCCAGTCTCTCACACGTGACTTGTGCCATGCAGAGATCCCAAACCAACCCACAGCTCTTTGTGGGAATGTGGTGAGCTCGAAGCTGCCGGGAGTGGCCCAGTCAGGCAGCAGCGATGGGCGAGGTAACCTTGCCAGGTTCCTTGCAGCCAGATATTCCTGTGGTTTCCAGGCATCACCTGCAGCTTCCACAGAGGACTGGAGTGGCAGCAAAAATATCAGCAGAAAGGAAACTACAGAAAAATGTGGTTATCAGTCCCTGCCTGTGTGGGACATCTCTGACCCTCTGTACCCCCTTGAGCAGAAGGAAACCTAAACCCAGCATCCTTCAGAGCTCCTCAGCACTCCCTGTCCCACAAACAGCTGTCCAGTTTGTCAAAAAGAGGAGTTCTTTACATCAGATTTCATTTGGTCTGAGAAACACAAGCAGGTGTTTGGGTTTAACTGTGCAGGGAAACTGAGGGGCTGGGAGGAGGGAGGTGCAGCTTGCCTGGCACGCAGGGATGCTGTGCAAGCTCACAGATCCACCTTCCCTTTCCATTTCAGGCGCTCCCTCCTGCTGTTCCCAACGCTGCAAACAGGTAAGGGTGCAGCTGTGTGCATTTCTCTGCCTTTGGGAGTGTCATGGCTGGTTGGTATCCATAGGCAGGGTATCCATGGGTGAAAAAAAACGTGGCACATGGGGGTCAGAGTGTGTTAAACTTGGGCCCGGGATGGACTCAAGGGCTGCAGAAACACAGATCCATTTCTGTGCCAGCCACATGAGCTGGTCCCTGACTGTCCTGCTGTTCCCCTTGAGATGACGTTAGAAAGGGAAAATAAATATCACTGGAGGGTTCAAGTAACCAGAGGCTGTAAAATAAACTGGAATGAAGCAGAAATCACACTTGTGCTGTGTCTGAAGTGGGGGGAACCAGCATCTGCCCCATGATCCACTGCCTGGTGATATCAGCAGAGAAAAAAACGACACGAGGGTGCAAAAGACTTTTGGTTTTTGGTGGGACACCAAACCCTCTGCGGGTCCTCCCTGAGCTCCCCGTGGGCTTCAGGCAGGAAGCCACAGCTCTGGTGGACACCTGCTGCTGTAATTACAGCCCCATGTTTAATTGCTGGATGGTTGCTGGGGTAATTGGCTGTTCAGTCAGAGGTTCAGTGCTGGAGTTACTTTGCTGGCTGTTGTTGTTGTTGTTGTTGTGTCCTGAGAGCGTTGTTTCCTTCTGCCCAGGCTGCCCCTGAAACGCAGCGGCGCCTCCTTCACCGACGAGTTCGACCCCGTTCCTCCAAAGCAAACCAAGGAGGAGGATCCCCAGAGAGGTAATCCCTGGGAGGAGGGGGAATCCCTGGGATCAGGGAAAACCTTGGATCTTGAACTCCACGAGGCCACACGACCCTGCTGGGGGGATCCCCGAGTCAGCGCTCGCCCTTCCTCTCTTGCAGTGCTGCTCTACGTGCGCAGGGAGTCGGAGGAGGTGTTTGATGCCCTCATGTTGAAGACACCGGATCTCCAGGGCCTCAGGACAGCTGTAAGTGCTCTCAGCCTCCCCCTGGGGAATGAGCAGAACCACAGATCAAAGGGAATGGTGCTGGGGTACAGAGTAAGGTGGAGGTGAGGCTGCTCCCGCCTCCCGTCCTGCTCCCTCTCTTGGGAATGGAAATGGAAAGCGTGAGCAGCAGGTGAGTCCTACCAACAGCTCCTGGCAGGGGCTGTGCTGGGACACACCTCGTGGCAAGGTGTTCTGCTCAGAGCACAGCAGAACCTCCTCCTGTGACAGCACAGTCATATTTTCCACCGTAAAACACCTTTCAGTTCTCAAGGCTCGGAGATGGGAGATCCGGAGCCAGCTCTGGCCTCCCCCTGGAATTCCCTGGCCCTGTTTGAGGAGCACAGACATATTTCTGTGATGATTATCAGCAGCATCTCTGATAGCCCAGCTCTCCTTGGAGACTGCTGGGAAGGAAGCAAACAATAAACCTCCCAGATCTGGGCTGGCTTTATGGCTGCACTTTCAGCTCTTGTTGGTTTGACAAACTTTTAAAAACGGAGAGTTTGAAAAATGTCAGCGCAGAGGATCCTGTGCCATCTTGTCCCTCACCACAAAGAGTGAATAAACCTCTATGGAAAATGCTTGGGAAAAACCTACAAACCTCCTGTCATCCTAACTTTCCCCAGGAGAATGCTGAGGTTGCGGCTTTGGCCCCTTTTTTCTTAACAGGGAGGGGGGGTCCTCTGCTGCTGAACACCCCTGGCTTGGTGTTATCTTTGATTTTTATCACGGGAATTTCATTTTACAAGTACAAAGATTTGCCATGTTTCCTCTCACAGATTTCAGAAAAATATGGGCTTCCTGAAGAAAGCATTTATAAAGTCTACAAAAAATGCAAAAGAGGGTAAGCTAATCTCTCATCTGCTTTCATGCTCTGCCTCCAAACCCCCTCCTCCTCTCTGGGACCCTGCCATAGGCTCAAACAGCATTTTAACAAGATAATAAAAGGCAAAGCCACGTCAGGCTGTGCTGTTTGGAGCATATAAAACTCAGATCTCTCTGGGCTTTAAAGATTTGGGATAATGCCTGGTTGTATTATATTTGTTCGGAGGGTGAAGCCTCCCAGGGAAAGGAAGTTGGGTGAAGGAGGAATTGTTTGGGTAGTTTAATGGGTGATCCTTTGTGTGTCTCAGTCTAAAAGCCTGAGGTTATGGAGAACTTATCGAAGAGGGATCAATGTTTGCTTCTCCAAACCAACCCTGAGCTGCCCCTGGCTCAGGAGGGGGACTGTGCTGGCTCAGGTTATTCCAACGTGGTGCTCCTTAGGGACGGATCCCTGCGGATCTGCCCCGTGGCTGGCAGGGAATGCTGTGGGTTTGCAGGAGCTGGGGAGCTGCTGAGTGTTCCCTGCAGGGCAGAGCTCTCCTCGTGGAGCCAAGTGCTGCTTTCAGGGGTGCTCTGTGGGCTGAGAACCCTCCCTGTGCCATGCCCAGCACCGAATTCTCCCTGCAGCTGATGGGATGGCAACGACTCACGAACTGCCAGGCCTCTCTGATACCATCAGGCTTGGGCAGCAGCAGCGACTGCCTGGGAGATGAACTCATTGTTGTTGCTGGCCCTGGCCCAGCCCTGAGCGCGGGGAGAGGCAGAGACACGAGGCTGGTGACAGGTCCCGCGTTGGGCAGCTCTGCTGCTGCCACCAGAGAGGTTCCCTGTGTGACAGCAGGGCCCTTGGGAGCTTGGCCCTGCTTCTGCACTTCCATCCCGGCTCACAGTGGCGTGAGAAAGCCCTAAAGCTCCTGGGTGGGATCTTGCACCTCTGTTTGGTGTCACCAGAACTCGATGCCCGGGGACTGAGCTGGTTTGCTTCGTGGGGGCAGAGCTGAAGGGAGGTCTGGAGGCAGCTGCAGGGTGGGAGGGGAGAGGCAGTGCTTGCTCCTCCACACTGGGATGTGTCACTGAGCTGGGAAGCTGAACCACCCCAGCTCTAAATGCAGAACTGAGCTACCTTTCCCTTTTAAAAATGGTTTTTCAATGTGGTCCTAATTTTAGGATGAGGGGTGGGCCATAGTGAGGTACCCAACATTGTCAGCGTGTTCTTCCACCTGCTCCTGAGCTCAGGGCCCTCAGTCCTGTCAGATGCTGCTCATCCATCAGCCCCAGAAGCTGAAATTTTCTCCCCAGAGAAGGAAAGCAGCGCTGGTGGAGGAGGGGGGGCTGTCCCTGCTCCTGCAGCCAGAGTGGGCCTCGAGTCTGCCCTGGGAGAAGAACCACCTTGAGGGACAGGGGCGACCACTTTGTTATTCCAGCTCCGGGGCTGAGCCCAAACTCGGGCGTGCCAGCGCTGCTGGTGGCTTGTGGTGTGGCCACCACAGGTCACCAGGCTGTCACCAGGCAGCAGCTCCTCCCAGGAGTGTCCTAGCCCAGCTGAGTGTCAGCGTGTGCAGGGCAGGAGAGGTCCCAGCCCTGATGAGTTTGAGGTGGACCAGGAAACGGCAGCGCTTCAGGGGAGAGGCCACCTCGGCTTTGCTTGGCTTTGGTTCTGCTCATTACTTGATCTGATACTCAGCGAATTAATAAACCCAGTTGTTTAATAATGACTGGGAGGGAAGACAGGCAGGTGCCCTTCCAGCTCTTCCCCGAGATGGAGGAGCCAAGAGGTATCTGATGGAGAGCAAAGGCCACGCCTGGAAATGAGTTCAAATAAATGATTTTGCCACCTGGTTTGATGAAAGCTGGATGTGACCAATGCCAGCAGTTACTGCTGAAGGGTGAGGGAGATACAAGATGCCTCCAGCCTGGTACAATGGCAGGGTCAGGCCCCGTTTCCTGCTCCCCCGGATTTCATTTCCGATAATTTCATCCTATTGCTCCACCCTAAACAGCCGTAATTACAGCTTGAGGGGCAGATCTTCATCTGGTGAAAAGAAGTGAAGCTCAGTGGTCCTGCCTGGCCTGATGGCAGGTGAGGTCCTACCCCAGCCACGGGCCTGCCCAGGGCCATGAGCTCAGGTCCAGAGTGACTCAGGAGCAATAATTAACAATTTTGTATCTCGGTGAGGTTTGGTCTAGAAAAACAATGCAGGGCTCGGATTCCTAATCAGCACTGCCTGGGATCGTTTGTGGTTGGGAAATGGGATGGAAGCAGAGGAGCAGGAGGCACAGGTGACTCCTCTGGCTTCCTGCACTGAGATGGGCAGAGATAAAGGGAGCAGCAAAGCTTTTGGTGACATCCCACCCTTGGGAACCCACGGAGAGTCACCTGTGGGAGGCCAGACCTGGGATCCAGGGTCTGGGGACCTGCCCCTGGGTGGTGGGGCTGGGAGCCTGCCCTGGCCCCTGAGGTGTTCCCTGGGGGGCACCAGGGCCCTGTGTTCATGCTTGTTGAACTGCTGGATTTGTCAGAGGCTCAGCCTTTTGTGTTTTTTTAGTCTTGGCTTTGAGGAGCGTTGCACAATTAACGCTCTTGCTCCACTAATGACCCCAGTGGGAACCTGGGGGGGGGGGGTTGGGTGGGTTGTGCTTCCTGCAAAGAAAGAACATTTGTTCTTTGTTCCCTCCAGATTTCACACTGATTTATGGGAACACCGTGGGGTGATGCCAGGCTGCCCCTTCCTATTACAGCAACGAGGGGCTCCTGCCTGGCACAGGAACACAGCCTGGGGTTTCAATCTGCCCTTGAAACCTTTCCTTCTCCTCATGTCTCTGTGGAATTGATTCCTGCTGAGGAAGGGAAGCTGAGGGATCTGCAGCAGGGCTGGGATCCCTGGAAGCACAGGGAGGGATTTGCAGTTCTGCTGTGAATTCACACCCTGAGAATCCAGGGGGGATTTGCCCGTGGAGCCGATGCTGGGCCAAGGCACGTCAGGGAGAATTGTGAAAAGCTCAGCAGGACCTTCCCTTGTGTTGGGCTGTGGCTTTAATCAATCAGTTAATTAATTGATTAAGGGTGGCTAAGCCCCTCAGCCTGGGTAAAGTGGACCTGCTTTCAACCCGCTGCTTCTGACCCAGCCCCTCTCCCTCTCCCGTAGGATCCTGGTGAACATGGACAACAACATCATCCAGCACTACAGCAACCACATGGCCTTCCTGCTGGACGTGGTGGAAGCAGAGAACAAGTTCCAGGTCATCCTCAAGGAGCTCTAAAGAGCCTCAGGCAGCACTTCCTGGGACTTTCCTCCAAGCCTACGGAGCTCAGGCTCGTGCCCCCCTCTACTTGCCTTGACTTGAACCCCCTTGGCCTCGGGGGGAGGCCTCAGGGCCGGGCACGAAACTGCTGCGAGATCAGTGATGGATGTGAACGTGGAACTTGGCTCTGCTGGGTTTATTATTATTATTATTATTATTATTTTATATTTTATTTTATTCCCTTCCGGCGCTGGGCCTGACCTGCCGTTTCAGAGCTGGGGAACACGAAGTGACATGAACAGGCAGAGAGCAGAGCTGGTGGCCTTGGCTGTGACTGATCCCACCCCAGGTCTGGGGTCTCTCCCAGGCCACAGAACCTTCAGACCATTCCCAGCTCTGAGCCTCTCTCTGCCACAGAGACTCTCACAGATGCATTTTCAGCTCCCTGTTGAACGGACACTGCCTGCTCCCACCCCCTCCCTGCCTCATCTCTCCCTGTAAATACCACCAAGGCCTCCACAGCCCTTGTTTATACATTTCTGTCCCTTTTATATTTTATATGTGTATAAATAAGCACTGTTTTATATCGGACTCAGTACGGTGACACAGAGCATTTCAAACACGGGCTGCTTCACATTTCTCCGTGAACTCCTTTTGTAACTGTGTTGTTGGTTTTGTTGTTTTGGATATTCCGTAGCAATAAAGGTTCAAAGACGGAAAATGAGCTGTTTCAGCCGGCTCTGGAGTCGGAGTCGGGCTGGGCTGGGCAGGAGCCAGGGCAGGGACGTGACCTCAGAGGCACCCGCAGGCCTCGGGGATGGTTTTGCAGAGCACGTTCCATGGGCAGCCGTGGATGATCCTCCTCCCTGTCCTCTTGGGACTCCTCACTCTGCCAGCTCTCAACCCTTCACCCCTGTGCCAGAACTGGTTATAATGATTCCCGTTCAGGTAACCCAGTGCCAAGGGGAGCCCTTGTATTTTCTAATCAATCCTCTGAAACTGGGGCCTTTCCTCCTCCCTCATCTCCATCCTCTGCTTTTCCTTGCCTTGTTAAAGATACACCTGACCAGTGACTGGGGAAGAGAGAGCAGCTCTGCTTTCACTGGGAAACAAATGCACCAGGGTGGTGAATTTTGTGTTACCCAAGTGTTGTAGAGGCCTCTAAGATGAAGCTCAGATAAGTTATAGGCTTATCAACCTTTGAGATCTGTCCAGCACCCTGCACTGCCTCATTTCACATCACAAACTCCTTCTTCAGCAGGATTTCTCTGATTCACTGTTGGTTCTGGTGAGGCTGTGCCCGAGAGCCCTCCCGCAGCAGAACTTCAGCTCCAGTTCAAACCAGTCCCCCCAGCAATGCCCCAGCATCACCCATCTGATCCTCTTCTCTCCGACTGCAGCGGTTGGAGCAGCCCTGCTCCCGATTTACGGCACCAGAAACCACCTCACGCCGCAACCTCGGCTCTCCCAGCAGAACAGAGCTGCATTTTGCTGCATTTTGCTGGATTTCGTGGTGTTCTTTCCACCCTGAGCTCTGCAGGGTCCAGGCTGGGGTTCCCTGAGTCTGCACCTCCCAAATGACCCCCCCGGCTCTCTGCCGGTGGGACGGGGGGCAGAGAACCGGGAGCTTTTCCTGGCTGATCCTGGCCCTGGGAGGGTTTCAGTGCCGGTCGATTGAGGGCAGCGCAGGAGCGGAGTCTCCACCCGCTGCCACCCAGGGGTGGGTGTTTTTGCTGACTGGCTCAGTATCGCTCATCCCTCCCAGCCAAGGCGAGTTGCGCAAAGCAAGAGCTCCCGAAAATATGCGAGAGCATTCCTGGCTCCTTCCTCGCCCGGAGCCCACCGGTTCCTTTTTGAAGATCGATTCACCCGCGGTGAGCAGAGGTCGTGTGAAAGTGGGAGAGGTTGGGTTGTGCAAAGGGCTTGTGCTGACACAGGAGGGGCTGCCCCGGACAGCTGGGAGCTGGTTTGTGCTGACTCCAGTCGGGAACACGAAGGAAACTGGTTTGGGAGGTGGACACTGTGCAGGGGCTGGACGTGAGCTCTGCACAGGGCAGTGTGACAGACCCCAGAGCCCATCCCTGAGCTCCAGGATCTGCCCCCCTGCCCTCCCACCCCCTCCAGGGTAACATTCCCCATAGAATGGCACAGCCAGCCTGCAGCACTGCTGTTCCCAGATGAAAACACAGAGGAAGGGGTTTTTCTGCACTGCCCATGAGTTTTATTCATTATTCAACACCTACAAAACTGGAAGCTCTCAAACCAGTTTTAACCAATGGCCATTTTGCAGTTCACAGAAGCAGCTGAGCTATCAGGGAGCCAGCCCTTTTAGGCTGAGGACAGGACTGCTCACTGCATGCTGTGGTTTGGGGGGAAATCCTGATGGAGTAATCCCACCCCGGCATCCCAGTCCTGCTGCTCACAGGCTGGGAGCCACTTCCCCCGTGCAGCTGGGGAGGAAGGAACACTTCCAAAGTGCTCCTGGTGAGCAAGTGCCCACAAAGACAGGGATGCATCCAGAAGAGAAGCAGCAGCAGCAGCAGCGTGTGAGCTGAGTTGTGCAAGAGCTCTGGTATCCCCGGCGCTGGGCGGAGGGCTCTGCTCTTCACTCCTGCAAACAACACCCAGTTTCTGTGTCTTTATTCCTGCTTATTCATCCCTTGCATCATCAGCCGGGCAGCCCAGGAGCTCGGTGTGTGGTGTGGCTCTCCAGGGCTAGAAAGGGAAAAGCAGCATCCCGTGTTTTTGCCGGGACACCCACACGCTGTGCTCGGAGGAGCCCTGGCGCGGTGCTGGGGATCGGGGGAGAGGATGAAAGAAGGGAGAATGAAACCCTGTCTGCATCTGCTTTGCAGAGTGGAAACCTTTCATAAAGCTGCTGAGGGTTCCCCCCAGCTCTGCTGTCTCGCCTGTGGGCCCAGGTGGTGCCTTGGGTTTGTGTGATTGAATTTCTGATGGGTGAGATGGGCATTAGAACCCCCAGCCCGTGGGAATGGATGACTTTGTATCAGCCACTGACTGATTTCATTGTGAAGTCTTTTGCCTCAGGTAGCCCTGCTCCTTGGGTAGAGCACAGAACAGTTCTCTGTGTGTTGGTGGCTCTACAGTTGTGCAGATGTTGTCAGAACTGTAAGTTCTGGAGTTCTGTGGGTTCTCCTGGGCAAAGAGCTCAGCTCACCTCTAAGCTCAGCACTGGGAGTTTTGATCTGCTGGAATTTTCTTTCCCTCTTTTCAGGTTAGAGTGGAAGAGGGATGTGTTTATTTCTTCTAGAAGCAGAGGGAAGGCCACATGCACGGCTGTGACTGTGGTGATGGTGCCCCCTTGTCCCCTTCGTGCCCTGACCTGCTATTGCAGGGTTTCTGATCAAATCAGCGTCAAAGACTGATGAAAATTAAAGGGGGCTTTTCTGCACCACTTGCTGAAGGTATTTCTACCCCGTGCCCTCCCTGTTTAATTAATCTGTAACCATCCTTACCCTCTGTGGGGCTGATCTGCAGCACGAACACCCTGCCTGGCTCTGTTCCCCTGTCTGGGGATCCCATCCTGGCTGAGTCAGCAGGGCTGCTCCGGGGAGCTGGGAGCTGGCATGTCCATGCACTGCCCTGCAAGTCTGGGATGTGATCTGGATGTAGCTCTCATTTCCCTGTTTGTGTTGCCACAGATGCCACCGATGTGTCCCCTCACTGCCCGTGGCTGGGACAAAATCCCCCCCCGGGTGGGTTCAGACGCTGGAAATCACAGAACCTGTTTGTCAGATGCCCTGAGAGCCAGAGGGGCTGTAATGGCCCTCACACTGCAAACATGCTCTCTTGCAGTCTTTCAAATCTTTAAAAATAATTTTGTAAAATATGAAGCAGCCCAAGCTGGGCAAGGAGCTGGTGGTGAGAACTCCAGTGCTGCTGTTGCTGCTGTGTGGCCCTTGGGGTGACATCAGACAGCTGAGGGTGTCAGGAGATGCCGTGCTCTGACCTTGGAAGGATTCAGACACTTGGTGTCATCACAAACTTTCTGTCCCCTGTTCACAAAAGCTCCCTGAATTAAACTGAATTAAACACCTTGGCAACAGTGCTTGTCCTTAGGTGTCCACATGGCCTTTTTGCTCATCTCTGCTCCATCTTTTCCTGCTGGGGTGGGGGACAGAAGGGCTGTTCAGCCCCATTTGTGGTTTGCTGTCTCCAACAGTGAGAAATACTCCAGAACAATTCTGGGTTTTACCAGGGAGCCCTTCCTGTGCTCCACGTTCTGTCTCCTGCTTTGGAGACCCTTTGAGTCCACAAGGTCCCACTGTCCAAAGGAGGACCTTTGAGAGGTGGGAGAGTCCAGCAGAACTTCTGCCAGGTGGGAGAAAAAGAGGCTTAAGGAGCTTGTCCAGCCCTCTGTCCTTATCAAATGCCTCTTGGCACTGCCTCCCTCCCAGCCTGCAGCTTCCCTCTCTTCTACCAACCCCCTGTTACGAGACACAAGTGCTGAGAGATGTAGTAAAGATGTAGTAAAGATACCCCTGTTGGGTAAGGAGAGCCCTGGGCTTTCTCAGGGGCTCATTTTATTTTTCTTCCATGGTCAGGAATTTATTGTTGATCTTAATCTCAGGCCCAGGCAACTGTCAGTGGGGGGTGACAACAAATGCTCAGTGAACAATCTGCTGATGGATTTATTTGTCTCCTCCTGAGGTTTCCAAGGGGCAGGAGGGCTTGGGATGCCTTTCCATCTCTTTGAAACAGTGGTGGGATGAAACACCTGGGGATGGCAGTTCTGCCTCAAAGGAAGCCCTGGAGACTTTTACAAGCCTCTCTCCAGCTCTAATTCCCAGGTTTTACTCTGGTTCCTGGGCATGCTGGGCAGCCACGAGTATCCCTTGCCATTCCTGCCCAGTGGTTCCCAGCTTGGAGTCTTCATGCCCAGTGTGCTCCTCTGGGGGTGAGTTTGGGCCCAAAACAAACACATCCTAAATGTCTAAAGCCTCTGCTTGGGACATGAGGGATTTTCTTTCAGGTCCTGTGTGTGCTGTGGCTTCTTGCTCCGTGCAATGGG